AGATGCTTACATATTTGAGGTAGTTGGAAATGGCTTATCTACAGTATTTTCTCTCGGCACTGAGGAGTGGCATATCACTGGTCCTACGATAGTGCAAACTGATCAGTCGTAGCCCCAGAACGGACAAGATGGGTTTGCTTGGTCACAGAAGCGATGGTAGGTGACAGAGCTGCAATGACTGGAGCGGTCCACGAGACACAACACAAATTTTAGCAGACACGACTTCAGGCTTAATCCAGATGAAGACGACACAGATTAATCACCATAGAATTTTAGGAAAACTGCGTTTTGACCTTGAGATTCGGGGTTTTTATAGTATTTCTTCCTTGAATCTCACCTTACGATTAGTCCTGCATCCCATTCCTTGCTTCCCGATTGTTTTCTTCTTTGTCTCCAGGTGAAAACCGAAACCAGATCAGGTCATTAAAAAGGTTTGTTCTGAGGCGTTTATTTGACACCTGTTCGTCGACACTGATCAGAGATTGTTGATAAACCTATAAGCCTTTCGCTCATAATTTAGCCTATTGTTTCTGCTATCTGTCATTTTAGAACTTTAACGATCATATGTGATGTTTTTATACCCGTCAAATCTTTCCCCTTTTCCGAAAATTTAACCTAGATCATCTGTTTATGAGCATGTTTTCCTATATTTTCATTAAAGAAAACCCATTTTACAAATAAAATTATAAAAATACTGACGGCTAGAACGGATTAATTGTATTTGCATTAATTTCTATGGGAAAAACTGCTTCGGTTAATGAACAGACTTGTGGAACGGATTACGTTCGTTAACCAGGGTTCCACTGTAATATAACATTCAGTATCCTCTGCTGTATATTATTCATTAGTACAATTAAGGAGTTCAATCTAGGATGTGTGTTGTAGGAATGGATATGTGCAACACATTATGAAATGTTACAGGGTAATTAGAACAATAATTACAATATTTACAGTATTTCAAAAACAAAACAAAAAAATAGCATTTAGCATTACATAATTTGTGGATGATCCCATAACTGATTCCTAAAGATTTCAATTATTATTTAACTGTAACAAAAAAATACAATCTATATTGTTTACACATAAAAGGAATACAGACCATATATATATATATATATATATATATATATATATATATGTGTGTGTGTGTGTGTGTGTGGTAGGTATACAGTAAAACTCATCTAAAATGGACTGTATACAAACAAACCTTTCTAAATGAAAATTAAATCACAAAACAGAACAATTTACTGTAAAAAACTATTATAAACTGTAAACTTGTCTAATACAGAAATGAAAGTCTTTTTGGATATCAATTATACAGGGTATAGCAAGTTAATCTGACAGTTTTTAAATACACCTGTACCTGAAACCATAGGAGTGGGGAAGTGAATAGACCACACATGCTGTTTAACTCAAAGCCATTTAGTAACAATTGAAACTAGCATAAAATAATAAAAATACATTTTGTTTTATAAGAACCCTTATAAATTACATCAGCAACATTTATACAGTGTTAAGGTTATTGCTTGGTATGATATATCAACTTTTAGAATGATTTGTCCATATTTCTTCAAAGACAAAGAAGGAACTGTGACCATAAATTCAGCTTACTACATTGAAATGCTTCACAACTTTCTTCAACTGAATTATTCCAGTGTGATATTGAATACCCAATCTGTAGTTTCAATAAGACAGGACAATGGCTCATAATGGGAACAATTCAAGGACTGTAGCAGAGACAAAGTAGAACATCAAGGATGAAGTGGCAGCAATTCCCCTGAAATATTGCAGAAAGTCATGCAAAGTTTTAGGGAATCATTGCAAAAATCTGTAGACAACAATAAATGCTTCCTCACAGACAAATATTCAAAAAGTGATTATTTATGAATTGTACACTCATTGCTTTGAACTTAAGTCAGGATGATGATAAATTAATTTAGCATAATTACATAACTTGTATATTATTTTAATTATTCTGCCACCACACCCTGCATAACATAACTCAAGAAAAGCCTAATTTTTTGATGTAACAGCAGCTAAATTCTTAATCATTAGTTAATGCTCTAACTTGCAGGTTTAGATCTTGAGCAACTTCTTGGTAACTACAGTTATAGTCTATTATATTTTTATTTGTTAAGATTGTAGTTTCATTGTCTGGAAAGTAACTATGGCAATACAATACCATTCTCACTAACTAAGAGAGTTATTCATTCCGAGGAGTGACAAACATTTAAAAAATATGCATTATTTTGGGGAAAATGTGTCATTTGTTAAACTCTAAAAAAAAATAGTTATTAAAAGCAAAATTAACTTCATGTATTTCATTTTTTTGTAGATAGGTTATCAAACAATTAATTACAGTGAAACATTTTAAGACAAAATGCTTTAGTTTGCTATTAACTAACCAAAAAAAGAAGCAACCAGTACCATCTGGAAAGTTTTAAAGTTAATCAAAATTCTATGTCGTCTTATGTATTACTGATATAACAAAAATTAATTTCTAAAAGCAGTTACTCTTATAGTCACTTTAGTAACTAGTAACTTAGATAGATAAGAATAACTTTTAAATAAAAATTGAAAACTCTTACATTACTTCATTAATTATCATCGAATTACCGTGTTGAATAGCAAGCTATATGCCCAGGGAATAAGAAAATTAAAATAATTTCATATACATTTTACATAGACATTTTTCTTCTATACATCATATATACACTTAAGATTATTTTGTGTATCTTTAAAATATGAAACACTTACATTGAAGGAAAGACAGTTCTAAATATGAGTTGTAATAATAGTTCCTGACACCAAGATAGGACTGGAGAGCCACAGATGATAAATACAGGCCCTCTCTTATTAAAATTATATCAAGTGAGATAAATGAGCATTATTAACAATTTATTAGTATATTAGTAATATTGGATTGATGACATAAAAATAAGAGATTTTAGAGAAATTTAATGCATTTCCAAAAATCTAATAACAAAAAAAAAGTTATTTTTATTACAGTATGATGATTTATTCAACAGTTAGGTTGATTCAGAAGATTTTCCAGTGTCAAACTAAGCACATCTTTCAGAGGAACTTATTTTGTTTAATAAGTTCTGGTCACTCAAACTTTATAAAACTTATCACATTAAAATTTTGTTGATAAATTTTGCTTTGTAACTAGCATTGCTTTCATAATTTCAATACTTATCTTGACTTCTCTTTTGATCACAAAGATGTTACAAGTGAAAATATTCTTTCTACAGAAATTGTAGTTCTCAAAAAACAGAATTAATTCTATCAGATTATTAAAATCAAGACAAAAGTGAAAATTTTGCTAAAATAGCAAGATGGCTGGGACAGAGCAAATAACATTAAGTATGGTCAGCCTAGTTGTAACATTTAAAAAAAATTTTTTTTCTGCAATAATAAAAACAATCTTCTATAAAATAAAAAATTCCAAAAATGAAAAATTCTATCATTATTCATCAGTGTTTAGATGTAAAATTTCCATAAACTATCAAGGTGTTCAGGTGCACTTGTGCTGAAGTGATAGGAAAATTAAGCATAGTCAATACCACTGTGAATTCTCAAGTGTACTAAGAAATTCTTGAAATGTTCATGATATGTCACCAGAAAACTTCTTTGAAAGCGATAATTTGTTTTTCAACTTGATCTTGCTCCATTACAAATCAGTAGCAACCACTGCTTGGCTTAATGACAAAGAAATCCAACTTTTGTCCTGGCTTGCAAATTATCCAGATGAAATCCCACAAAAAATTTGTGGAATATTGCAAAGAATGAACCAAATGAACTGAAACTCCAAACATTGCAAGACCTAAAAGACAAAGTATGCCTTGCTTAGTTTTGTGATGTCTAACGATCGTTGTCAACTAATAAAATTTCGCGCCCCAAAGAATATGTGCTATAATTAAATCCGAAGGCGGCACTTCTAAATATTGACTATATCAAAATAAAATATTGTTTGAAATAAAAGTTTCCTTCTGATTTTTATTTTTATTCTAACATTTCAAAATGCAAAAGTGCATATTCCATTTTGTGAGATTATTATTATTATACATGATTAATTTCATTTTTCAAATTCATTTGCATTTCATTATGTTCCTCTGTGTGGTAGCTCCTGTAGTTGTATTTGTAGCACATGATTATTTTGCTGCTATATTTCTGCAGGAAATACTAGACAACATATAAATTTTTATAATTTGATTTTTTCACCACTACTTGTATATTGAAAAAAGTGTAAAAGAATTTCTAAAATTATCTTAAAATATTTAATTTAATGATACATTACATTTGAAATATAAACAATATTAAATTTTTAAATAAAATACAGTTTTAAGTTAATAACAAATATATATATTTGGTATTGGAAATATAATTTATTTTTACATAATAATAAATGAAATCATTGTAACTAATAAAAACAAAAATAATTGATTAAATTTAAAAATAACCTAAAATGCTTTACAATAGAATTATAATCTTTTATAAACTATCTTTTTACATTTTCGTCCATATTCTTCACTTCCAAAATTTTAAAATGTCAAGTTTGCAAATAATATATAAAGTAAAATGTTAATATATTCATATTTTCAATTTCAGATAAAATAAATCTCTATAAAAATAAACTGAAATGGAAAAAGTTCTCTCTTATTTAATCAGTACTAGAGATAAAAAAAAAAAAAAAAAAAATCATCTTCATCTGCAGTCAGTTTTATTCAACAATTTTTGGTAATTTTATCATCTTGAGGATAAAAGGAAAAAAATAAATTCTAAACTCTTTCCTAATGAAAAGAGTAATATAATATTGAAATAAAATTTAAAAATGCATTTTATTTTGATAAATAATTCTGTTGTTGCTTTTATCTTGTTACCATATTTTTAAGTGTATTATATATATACATATTTCTGGTAAAAGCATATGTTATTTGTTTTATTTATACTATGTAATCACTACTGGATTTATATCTATTTTAATAATGTATTCTCACCTCTGCTACTTTTATAAATCGTCCTCTCCTATTTTGTTTTACGTCCAAATAAAACCTTTTTGATTGTATCTGCAACATTTTTGTTGCCAATTCTTGTTCCATTTGTGGCAAAAGCTGCCCTCCTAAATAAAAGCATTAATTCAGACTAATATTTTAAAATAAAAATTAAAGTAATGAATTTATTTTTTTGAAAAGATTAATTACAAATGGCAATGCCAATTTTCAATAAATTTCATTAAAATTTGGATTATTGCAGCATATAGGCATTTGGATGCAATATATTTCTAAAAATGTTATAAATTCAATTTCATTCCTAGAGATAGGGGATTTTATAATTTCTTAGGTTTTACTTTTTTTCTAGTGAATACATTACAATACATAAACTTTATATGAAATGTAACAACAGATTAAACAGGAAACAGACAATAAAAAGTAATTTTTACAAATGATTTTGCTATTAACAAAACCAAAACTAGCAGAATCATTGCATAACTCAATCTTTTTTTTGTTGGCTAAAAATGTACAAAAAATGATTTGGGAGTATCAAATTATTAAGCACAAGAACATAAGTTGTTTAAAAGTTGTATTCTTTATATACAGATTAATATAAATTTTAAGTTAAAGCTTATAAAACTTTAATATATTGCTTTAAATGGTATAAATATACCATTTAAAGTATTTTATTAATATAATGTAAAAATGTGTTAAGTCAACTAATTTAAAATGGAATTGTATTATTTTTATATTGTGTGTATCTTTGAGAACTTTTAAACATACATGTTGTTTCATGATTAAATTATATCTGTTATAGATTGACAATAATAATTTCAGGCACAAATATGAGAGAGAAAATTTAATAATTGTAACTTGAAAAAGTATATAAATAGTAGACATTTATCACAGGTTTGTTAGTAAAAACAAAAAATTAGGAATAAAATTGATGACATTTAAACATTGTTTTGAAGTACAAAAAAGAAAATTGACTTATCAAATTTGACTAGTTTTATATAAGTGGATGGCATTTATTTTCAAAGATATCATAAACTTATTTTAATTTGTATTNTGTATAAATAATTAGTAAATTCATAAAATAAATGAAATTATACACTCCTTAATATAATAAAATGAAATGTGTTCAAAAGTATTTTTTTTCTTACAAAGAATTAAAACAGTTTACTTAAATCAAATAAATTTAAAAACTTATTCAAGAAGAAAATCATCATATTTATTATTAAGGCCCAAATAATTATGCTCTTAAAAATGAAAAATATGCACTTATAATATTCCCTAAAACATGAAAATATTCTCCTGCCCAAAAAAATTGATAAACTCAAACATTTTTATTAATTTTTTCCCTTACATTAGTTTATTTATAAAATCAGTTACACAGAATATAATTTTCTCTAGTTGCAATGAGTAACAAAATATTGCTTCAAGTTCTCAGTTGTAAAGTTTACTCTGTTTCTGCATAATAGCATTGCATATTGTGAAAAACTTATTTTGACATCATATGAAGTAACAGGAGAAAAAAAAAAACAAATGCAAGTTACTTCTGCAGGTAAAAAAGTCAAGTCTCTTTTTCCATTTCTTAAGATTTTGGCTAGTTCCATATCATCTTTCCATCATTTATTTTTATTTAGAACAAATTTGAATTTTTTATGTATCTTTTTAGCTACTGCTCAAATTCCATAAAGTCCCTCTTTTACGATTTCAATCAAACTGGCAGTACACTAAACAGCAGTTCACAACAGCATCCCTTCTTCCATTGTTGTTATAGCCTTTTCAAGAAATTCAAAATTTGCTTTGATGAAAGATAATTCATGTTCAATAACTCTTTCGCTAAAACAACTAAGCATCTTCTATGATCACTGCATCATCTGGGTTAGAGCTTGAAGTAATTCTCTTTATGCTTTTGTAATTATCAGCATAATAGGCAGCATTTATCCAGTTAAATCAAATATTACAGGTTTGGGAGGCAATGGGATACCAGGCAGATGCCATACAAACTCCTATTTTATTAGATGTGCCTTTACAAAATTTTTTTTTACATTTGAAATTAATTTATTAATGTTTGGAAAACTTTCACATACTATTTTACAGAACTTAATGCCGTATGTATGTATGTATGTATGTATGTATGTATGTATGTATGTATGTAATGTGAAACACTTTTGGATTAAAAAGTACATTCAATACCCTTCCATTTTTACGATACAGGGTGCTGCATCTGTTATAAAAAGAAGCACTTTCTCATATTGGATCCCCATTGGCCATAAAATATGCATTGCATTATTAACTATTTTGGCAATGCTTGACTGATTAGTTTGCTCAACAAATGACATACAAATTAAAAATGTTTCTTCATCTGTCATCTCCTTAGTATTAAGTGCTGAAGATAGCACTCCAACAATGACATTTACTACATATCTTCCAATAAAGTCTGTGGTTTCATTGACACTTAACCAAATGTTCTTTCCTTTGATCCTGTCTTGAGCAGACTCAATGCAATTGTCATACATCTCTGGCAAGTAATTCTTTCTCAAAGTTGATTCATCAGGTATTTTTTCCGCCATGGTATTTCTCTAGGAATCTTTTAAATTCTTCATTCTTTAGTTTATAAAAGGGGATATCAGAACTGATCATAGCAGCACATAAATCTCTTAGAAATGGACACTTTGATGGTCCCAGTTTATTTCTGTCAGCCTTTAAAATTAATTGCCTATGTTTTCAATGTAACACAGTGAAGTGAGAAGCTGTAGAGGTGCTGAGTAACTTGTGACCATTTTTCACATGAAATGGCCTTGTTATAGGGCCAACACAGTAAAACCTCATTATCTGTAGAAAATATATTTACTCCAAACTCTGCCACATATGCCCTAAAAGCTTGCCTTTGGTTTAACCATAATATAAACTTGAGGAATCTATCTAAAATATGAAACAGAAAACAAATTTTACCAGTATGCAGCAAACTATAGTAACAGTAAGTATAAATATGTACTAATAATAATGCAAATTACAAGTACAAACAGCAAATTGAGTGTGGAGTTCTAATTTCAATTTTAAAAGTAGCACAAAAACCATTTTAAAAAATATTTTCTGTATTTTTTATCCAGTTTATTTCAAAAATTATACTATTATGGACCAAATTTGAGAAATATGCTCTAACCTTTCAAATATGCTTTTATAACGCCTTAATTAAGGGTCCTACATAATGTGATAACATGTTCTAAGCAGTATATATACAGATATCCCTCATATAACACGGTGGATACGTTTTGAAAAAATGCTGTGTTATGCGAATCCATGCTATACAAAACAAAGGACTAATGCAAAACATAGCGTTATGTTACAGAAGTTAGCCAAAGTATACTATTCTTTTTCATTACTAAAAGAAATATGTTTATTAAAACAATCAATAGTTTATTTCCAATCAATAATTAACTAACAAGCACAATTAAAAGTACTGTTAATATTAAGTTTAGTTAAATGAGGGCATTTTCTTTTTTAAAAATATTGTCATCTGTTGGAACTCATCTGACATGAGGTGTACCAGGGACCACCACCACATACCACAGATGACATGCACGCTGTAGTGAATGCAGCGTCATATCCCAGGCAACCATTAATTGCCTCATTGATAGTATGCCTCACCTTATAGTAGCCTGTGAAGGCCATATTAGTTACTGAATAAACAGGTGTCTGTTGCATGTCTTTGTTTTTTTAGTCATTTGCACATACATCTCTGTCACCTCTACCAGTCCTGCAAAATGCATGTGGCTACATGCATTCCTTGTATGGTGTTGCGATTTCACTTTTGAGGAGTGTATACATAGTCAAACGATAGCCTTAAATACTCAGACAATAAATTTGCTATTTTTAATAATTAATACTAAGTAATTTGCTACTGGAGGTAGCATATTAATAAATATCATATAATGAATTAACAAATTATACAGGGTGTATCAGAATGACGTTTTAAAAATTTGGGGGATTGTAGAGGATGAAATTTTGAACGTTTTGATATAAGGAACCTATAGCCGGAAATGTGATATAAAGTTTCTACAGCACTTTGAACGTTCTATACGGTCAGTATGCTGAACAAAACAACAGAATACAGTATTTATGACAAGTTTCATTGACAAAACAGTAGAGTACAATCAAACTGTATATCGAATCAATGGCTGCACTACTTTAGAGTAAATGTTCAATGTGACGACCACCAACTTCGTTACGTAATGTTCAACGACAAACCATGTTTTGTCCGGCCCTCTGTAAGATGTCACGCTCTCCTCTGATGGTATTAAATGCTGTAAAGATGTGCTCTGTAAGCTCATGAACTGTTCCTACAGGTGTTGCATACACAAGGGACTCACATTGACTAGTTGTATGTTTACAGCACAGTGCTAGTGGATGCAAGGGGTGACCTGAAGGACGACAAGCACTAAGTACACAACATCCTGTACACAGGCTCAGTTAGACCACTGTAGTTGTGTGTTTAAAGTCTTCCATCTGCAGCAATAATATGACATCAATGGACAGAAGGGTAGCTACCAAAGTGAAGTGCGGTCAAGCACTTCCTACCGCTGTAGACACTTTAGTTCAAATTTCCAGCTATAGGTTCCTTATATCAAAACATTCAAAATTTCATCCTCTACAATCCCCCAAATTTTTAAAACGTCATTCTGATACACCCTGTATATAGTTGAGTCAACTTAACAGAGCATCAAATAAGGAAGCAGTTTCCTTAAGAGTGCACCCTTCCCAATTTTCTCTCCTATATTTTACATTAGACTCCTGTTAACAGAGCATAAGATAGAACAATCTGTTTAAACAAGTTGCCAAGTCATCAGAATATTTTCAGCAACAGTCTGCATAAGGAAGCATAATTCTAAGGAAAATTTATAAGAATCTATCTTACCATCACCCAAGACATATGGCAACAGGTACTGTACACTACAGTGTACTATACATAATGTAGAGATTTGGTGAAACCTTCCATTGATCAGTTTTCTAATACAGTTGACTCACCTTAAATCAAACACATAAAGCAAATTCTCACATTAACGCAAAGTTTGTCATTGCCTTGGCAAAACACCATTATCACAACATTAATTTTCATGCAATAAAGCAAACAAAAATTTTACCAGAAATCATTAAACCGGACTAAAATGTTAATTATCTTCACAACCCCAAAAAACAACCCTATTTCTAATAATGAATTTATTATTCATGTAGAAAAGTGTAAAAAAGGAAAGTGGTATTCTAACAAATGTTCTACTTTAAGAAGAATATTTTTCTTCTGCTAGTAAGCAAAGACAGGTTTGATCTCCAATTGTAGAGCAATTCAAATAATTCTATCTGATTCTAGCAAACCATTTTACTGTATTCAAGAAATAAGGGTTAAAGTTTAAGGACACCCACCTCTTTAAATGAATGCAGTCCTATGCAAACACATGCTAGTTTGCATATTGGGGGGTGCATATTGGACACCTGGACCCAATTCCTTGGTCACTAACATTGACTCAACCAGAGCCACTGTCTGCCCACTATCAGCAGCTCAATCTTCTCAGCCATCTTAGCTAGGGATTGCATTACTGGTAAACCAGTAAATTACCAGTACATTTATTGATGCATTTTTTAATTGATTAAAGTAAACTAGTTTACTGGTAAACCACTAAACTAGCTTACTTTAATCAATTAAAAAATGTATCAATAAATGTACTGGTAATTTGATAATTTTTACCAGTAACTTTGGAAAAAATATATAAGCATTTAATAATTTTTTGAAGCCAAATATTTATAGTTTTATATATTAAAAACACAGAAGCATCAAACATTTTTATTTAAACCAGTAGTGTTCAAACTTTTCAATTGGTGGGCCAAACTACATATGAGTCATAAATAGGCAGACATCCCCAGTAGTTGAATGGAAAAAAACCACTGAATAATGATTGTTGGGTTACAAGTTTGTGCTGAATAATGGGCTGTCTTTGTGGAGTTTTCTTGGTTTTCTTGTGTTTAAAATCTAAATAATGGCCAGTTTCCCATAGAAAATGAAAATCCTCCTAGGAAGCACTTTCCCTTGGAAAATCTCCCTTATGTTTAATGCCTTATCTCATTAATCCTATTATCTTGAGCAGGCCAGAAATATCTCATGCATTGCATATATATATATATACATACACACTAATAATAGACCTATTTCTATCACATATAAGTGATGCGTCAAACATGTTTGTGGACTGAATTATTAACATATGCCACATGCCAGAATTGGCCAAGGAAATAGAATTTGAGCCCCACTGATTTAAACTGTAAAAAGTACTTTACATCATTTTTCTTTAAAATTATTACTTTACAGTTCTTTGCAATATTTAAAGTATCATATTACAGAACTATGCTGGCAATTTGTTTCTTTATCCACATCTCGAATGCAATAGCAATTTTAGTTGAGCAGCATTTTATTTGGCAAAATGGAATGCATTTATTTAAATACAAGTGCTTGTACTAGCATTTTAATCACAGCAACTAAAAACAGCATTCTCTATTTTTCAGTCAATGAAACTGTTCCTTTTCAAAATACTTAGAGTATCAGTGACTTTAGTTGCTGACTCACAATAAATTGGCAACTAAACAATTACTAGCACTATAATTTTCTCATATGGAGTCAAAATTTAAAAGTTCCTGATAATTTTTTGGTAAACTAGTAACAAATTAAAAATTTACCATTTACTGGTAATAAAAAAGTTGGTACCTTGCAATCCCTAGTCTCAGTGACAGCAATGGTTCTATCTCACTGTCCAACAATCCAATGCCATGTTTGAGGAGAAGGATTACACCTATGTTGGAAAGCTCATTAAGGTATTGTGAAGGAATTGTAGTTTTGGTACTATAATTTTGTAGAATGATTAGCATGCCAGTCTATCTGGGGAGACCACAAAATCAGATATTTCCATATGGTAAAAGCCAGCATGCCAGTTTATCCCAGGGGAATGCCAGCATGCCAATTTAAGTGAGGTTATACACCCCTCTCTAGAGAGCACATTAAAAAAACGGATGAGTTATGTCACGTAAAATCGAAAGAGTTTTAATGTGCCATAACTCCTATTGTAACACCGCTACACTGTTGTGTTAATTATTTTATATTAAATTTTAAAAACTCACTGCAAATTATCTCAGTTTACACCAATTAACATTGGCTTTGTGTGAAATTTGAGAGAGGTGTTATTTTTAAGGTTGGGATAGATGATCAGTGTAGTCCACACTGGCTACTACTGTCAATAAGTCATTACAGTAGAGCGTCGTTTATCCGAATCAATTGGAGACTGAGGTTGTTTGGAAAATCGATATTTCGGATAACCGATTATGTACGGAAAAATATATTAACCTATCCAATGTTGAAATTTTCTCCGTTGCGTGTCGCTTCACATTGAATTTTCGTCAATGTTATGCCTAACGAAGACTATTGTATCATTAAAAATTATTTTTTTATTTTGTACGAACAAAATAGATATATTGAAATATATAAAAACAATAAAAAATTATACTTCGGATGTTAATTTAGTATCAAAAACATAAAATATTTGAGTAGCCCAAGACATAGCCAAAGATTGCAGTGCCACACAGCACTGGAGAAAATTTAAATTTGCCGACTGGAATTCTTTCGGATGATTGACTTTCTGATAAACGACGCTCTACTGTAATTGTTTTATTGTCTTGCAAACGAAAAGACTCTTCCTGATTTTAACACAGTCAAATTACATTATTATTATTTTATTGTACTCAGAAAAATGTTTTCTTTAACATTTAATTGACAACTAGGTTTGTTAGATCTGATTAATTTTATATTTTAGTCACAGTTTAATGGGCATGCCTGTGACCCCAGGGTTTCTGGCATGCTGGTCTTCCCCATTTTCATGCAGAATGACAGTCATTCTGCAAAAACACAATACAGTAGAGCATCGATTTTCCGAAAGTCAATCATCCGAAAGATTTCCAGTCGGCAAATTTAAATTTTCGCCAGTGCTGTGGAGCATCAATCTTTGGCTATGTCTTGGGCTACTCAAATATTGTATGTTTTTGATACTAAAATTAACATCTGAAGTATAATTTTTTATTGTTTTTATATTTTTCAATATATTTATTTTGTTTGTACAAAATAAAAAAATAATTTTTAACAATACAATAGTCTTTGTTAGGCTTAACATCGACGAAAATTCAACGCAAAGCGACACGCAACGGAGAAAAATTTCAACATCGGATACGTTAAACTATTTTTTCTACATAAATCGGTTATCCGAAATATCAGTTATACGAACAACCCCAGTCCCCAATTGATTCGGAAAATCGACGCTCTACTGTATATCAATATGTACTTTTGTCTTGCTAATTAATAATTATTTGGAAGTTTTTGATTATTAATACATTTTTGAATTTATCGTCTAGGCGTTAATAACCAACATCTATCGCTACAAATAACAAATAACGAGCTTGAGGCTATAAGTGCAGCGGTAAGCGCGGCGGGTTACGCTAGATCTAAGTACAGGTACATCCTTGGAAAGGTTAAAAGATCTCTATTTCCTGACACAACTTTACAGGCCTCGGAAAAACGTACAATAATCCAGCCGCCATTACCATTCTGTGGCCGTATTACCGGCCGCGTTTGCCGTATTTTTAGGCAGCATGCTCTCTTCCTGCCAGTGTCGCCGCGGCCAAACCTTAGAAGTGTGTTATGCAACGACAGGGATCCTTTGTCTGTACTAGAGCGGTCTGGAGTGTATTCCATCCCATTGGAAAGTACAACATCGAGTGCTCATACCCAGTATATCGGAGCGACATCCAGAATGTTGTCTTGCCGCATCTCTGAACACAAACAATCTATTAGTACGGGTAGATGCAACACCGAGTTGGCAAGATTAGTGTTACAACACCAATTTTCTCCGAGGTGGGACCAGGTGGGGATACTCAAACAGTGTGATAGCAGAAACATCCTGTATATATGGGAGGCGCTGTTTACCAGCGTGTTAAATCCATGCAACACTCCCACGCTGGATGTGCCTTCCTTGTGGGTCAACTTGTACAACAGACTAAAACAACGTCGCTAACTCCGTATTCTCGCAAAATAATCTATTGCTCATGCGCGTCGGCACTGAGCGCGCATCTTTTAAATTCTCCGTTTTTGTTCTATTTGTTTTTATTCCAAGGTTGGTTTGCCGTTGCCGTAATTTTGAATTCGAAGAACATTAACTGTTCTGTTAATTAACCTGAAGAAGACGATAATAGTTTCGTTGAAAGCGCTTGTTATTTGTAGCTAGATGTTGGTTATTAACGCCTAGATGATAATTTTCTCAACTTGATTACATAATATCCGGTGTGAAGTCCAAGAATAATTTTTGAATTTATTACTAGCATTGTGTTATTGATAACCTAGTATTGTTTGCCATTTATTATTATACGATTTTATTAAATAATCTATTTGCTTGTTAATTATTCATGTGTACACACAAATTTTTTTTTGCTAATTATTGTTTTCCTTTTCAGTTGCCTGAGAGGTCGGATATATTCCTTTCATGGACTGTGGTAAAGTTTGGTCAAGAGATTTTGTTATGTATAAAAATCAACCTTTATAATTGAAGCATGTATAACATGTGTTCTGAATCTATATAAATAAAAATGTAAATGTTCGTTTGTTCAAAATCTTAAATCTCCGAAAGTTCTTAACCGATTGCTTTGAAATTTTGACAACATTTCATTCGAATATGCACGTTTTTATATTATATAGATGTTGAAATCCCCACCGTGGGGGAAAAGGACAAAATTAAGGCTTATTGTGTAGAACTGGTCTTCCATTATTCTATTTTAGATGTGGTTTTTTGTGTTTGCCAAAGGGGTAACTTCTAGCAGGACTTCCTATGTGGAAACTGGCTGTTACACACATGAAGAAAACCCAGAACACTGCATGGTGACCAGTCCATTGGTCAGGCACAAACCAATGACCAACTACCAGTTCAATGGTCTTATTTATTCAGCCACTGGTGAGCTTGATTTGTGTCACTGTATGGAGACTTTTGGGACACCCTGTATACTAACCACATTATTCAATCAAATTTATAAAATTATAATGTTAATTTCCTTACTTGAAAAATAATTTAACACAGATTTAAATATTTCGTTAAATTATTTGTATAACTGATTATAAAATTATTAAAATGTGAAATACAAATACTTTTTAAGTAAAATTTAGAAGAATATATCTGTAAAATACATTAATGATTTATTAACAAGTTTTATTTGTGTTTGCACTTATTATTAAAATCATAAGGAAATTTTTATTTAACAGAACTTTATGTATGTCAAGTTTCATAAATTTATTATTATTTTCAAAAATCAGATAATTGTACTGTGTCAATGACTTAAGATAATGAAAAATAACAACAAATTTACTCAAGATAATACAAAATTATGTATTTCAAATGCATACTTTTATTTACAAAACTCAAGTAACTACTAATCTTTATAAATAGAATACGATTATTCCATTTTTATAAAAGAGTAATGTTTAAATTAAAATGATCAATGATTTGATCTTTACAAAATTAAAATATAACATGCTTTATAAATATCAAACTCAGCTTTAAACATTTAA